CAGGGGGAGGAATGCGAAATGTGAATTGCTGGCAGCCGGAGGTGCTCATCAATCCCAGAAGAAAACGAAAAAACCGATTGGGAGCTATACGAGTATATAGCCGGAGCTAATCAAGCGGCATTCGGGCAATGGCAACGCTTTGCTATGCAGTCAGCACGCTTTATAAAATAATGATCGGGGGGCTGGGAGCGTTTCAGATCGAGTATTGCGGGCGCATCCATTTGGGATGGGATCGAGATCCATCCTCGTTTTGATTGCACCCGTAAGTGCCATATTGTCACCGTTTGATCAATCAACTCAGCCGCCGCGCAAAAGGCATCTCAACTGACCGATCGTAAATGTAACTCAATCCCCATTGATGATTGTTGCGTAACTTGTTTCCAGTTGCAGTTCCAGTTGCGGTTGCAGGATAGGAGATGCAGTTTTGCAATTAGCCCTGGCTCCTTTCGGTTCTGCTCGATCTTCTGCCCATCGATCGCTGGGCCACTCGCTAATTGACAATATTTATGAACACGTACGCATTTTATCGCCCCCAGTAACCGTAATTGGGGCCGTCGTCATCGCCCACAGCTGCTGGGCCAATTATTTTCATCAAAATTGTTGACAGTTTTCAGCGTGCCGCAATGAAGAGATCTTGGCGCTCTTGGCGATCTCTAAGATCCGCAGAGTACCCAGTACCCCAGTACCCAGTTTTACCACGTTTTGGTTATACGAATGCCAAACTGTGCCATAAATTGTCACTAGATGAGAGATCTCCAAGATCTAGTAGACAACAGCGGGTCTCGACTTGCACTCACTGTTCACCGTTTGCTGTTTAATTAAATTTACTTAATTACACATTAAAGCATTCTTTGTCTTCGTTTTTCTGTTTAGTTTTTTGTTGGCTTATGCACTCAAACAAGTTCCATTTTGAGTGTTCGAGAACAAAAAGTAATTGCCATTTGACAGAAGTCAGATGATAGACATTAACCCATGGGGCGAGATTTCCATGTGTCACATGGCACATTCAGAATAGAATCGTCTTCTTTATGGCGAATGGCAGGTGTCAGGCTAGCAAATGTATGCGAAGTTAGTTCTGACTGAACATTATAATAAACGAAACGACTTTATAGTTTTTTATGCCAAATAATTTACCAGGAGTGATTTGAATCTTTCTTTTAATTGAAAACTTAGATTTTATACTTTAAACCAAAAAAATGTTTGAAGATAATCTTTAAGTGCTAAGCAAATACATTGTATATTCATTATTCCGTGTTGAGTGCTAAATATTGAGGTCAACTTAGCATGATATTGTACAAAATATTATATATTTTAAATTTATTAAAATTTCCTAAAATCATCTAAGTTATGTAAGTATTTTATGCAGTTCCGCCCAAAACGAATCAAACTTGGTTTATTCATCTTCTTTATTGCATTGTACATTTTTTGATGAGATACACAGTTAGGCTACGAATTCCTAGATTCAGAATTTAAAGAGCTCAGTTCAATTTATACGAATTTCAGTTACCCAATCTGATAGCAGTGAGTTTACACATAACCGTAATAGCGATTTCTTGAATCAAATACATAAATAAATCACTTAAGCTTTACTGGCTATTTGTAAGATTCTTCCGAAAGCAGATTTCCTTGGTCTCGATAAAAAGGTCTACCACCCTAAAAGTTGACCCTAATTGAGTTAAATACAAATTAAAACTCAGACTCGCAGATTGGTTTGCGTTGAAATGAGATTTAAATACTTGTAAAACAGTATCGAAATAAAACGTTGTTTCCGTTTAATTTGGTTACCAATGAAAAACAAAAGAAACCGGCCAGCCAGCCGATGCCTAAGTACATTTCGTTTGAAATTCAATTAAAGAATCGTGTGACCTTCCCAATGCAAACTCAAGATCGTTCTACTCTCTTTTTATATTTTTGAGAAGGGGGCCATAAAGCCGACGCTACTGGATGAGCCTAAATTAAAAGTTTTATTAGTTTGCCTCGTTTGCCGGGTGTTTTCGGTTTTTTTTGTGTATTGGATAAACGAAAATTGAAATTATCAAACCATTAAAAGCGCACAACGGCAACTTGTACTGGAGGAACGAACGGAACGGGATGGGGGCCCAGGCTAATTAAATGTAATTAATTTTCACATGCCTCAAAATTAAATGCATTTAAATCAAAGAGATCCGAGAGAGTGTGAGCTTTATATATAGCGTATGTTTTAATAGCCGCCGACCGACAAAACGACAAACCAACCAACAAACCAACCGACGCTCTTAAAAGTGATTTAAAAAGTTTCATTAAGATAAACAACAACGAACAATCTACAGAGCAATGCCGGCAGCAACAACAACAACAACCGAATGTTATAGCAATTTAAATTTTAATTTAAGCTCACAGTGGCTGGCTATGAGTACAGGTGAATAAACCATGGGGTCAGACTCGCAACTCTGACTAAACTACAGAAAAATGTCGAAAAGTCGAATCCCCACAAAAAACCCCAGTCTTGGGGGCCATTTACCGTTGCGCCCTCGAGGCGTGGCCGTTTCTGTCGTTTCATTTTTGTTTTTCGAGGGCATCCTCCGACTTTTTCTCCCTGTCTTGCTGGCCAGCAAGTATTAATGGCCCAACCAGCCATTTCGGACAAACAAATTGCTTGGCTACTGGATGGGATCCCAACTCTCGCCGTAACAAGAGATCTTCAGAAAGAGTAAAAGCCAAAATTCAATGGAAAAAATGGCGTTTAACTGTAACTCGCGCAATGTGAAACATTTTTGGGTCAGGTGCACAGAATCCGAATCCGAATCCAAATCCGGCGAGGTTTCACCCAACCTGTATATATGTATGTACATATGTATCTCTGACAACGCCCCAAAAGTTTTTGGCTCTGCCTGTTGTCCATTATCTTACGGTAATATCGCTCATAAAGCGTTGTCTGTTTGCTGTTTGGTGGCTACCTTGTTCGTATCACCGTCATCATCATCATCATCATCTGGCCAACCTTCACCATCGCCACCGAGCACAAGTACATATAGCAGCTTTGGCTCGTTATGGTTTCCTACATAACCACCTCTTTCCTCACAGACCGCCTTTCTGTGCCATTATTTCAGTGTTACTTTTCGTTTGGGTGTTCCTCAGTTTCATGTCCGAGTCGGACATTTTGATTGGTAACCTCTTGTTGAGGAATTTTTTCATTTGTATATTTTTAATGACTAAGCTTATCTCAAGACATGTATTTTTTGGCTGCCCGTTTTTTAATTTTTTAAGCAATTTCGGGTTTTTTTTATTATGCGGGCAACTGTGTGATCAAATTTTAAATTCAAAGAGCCTACATTTATTATTCAGAGATCTTAGTTCATTTGTAAAATAACCTTCAGGTTTTTTTTAAGTTTTGATATTATGTTCTTATAATTTATAACAATAATAAGGCTTAAGAGTTTTTTGGTTTTTAAAATTCAGAAATAAGTTTTGGTTAATCTGTGAAACCAAAGGAAATCGATGGTAATTCCGAATTTAGTTTTTAATTTCAATAGTATTAAGGTTTTGTTTGCCAAAAACCAATTCTTAAGAGAACTAAGCACAATCTGAATACAGTAGAAAAATGTGGTTTTAAAGATTTCTATGCATAAGGCCAGTTAAGCCGACAAAAACCCTTTCAGTAAAATTCTAAATAATATAAACTTTCTTTAGGAAAATAGGTTTCATGGCTTAGAAGTTCGAATTAGTTTTTAAAATAAATCAAAATTTTGGAAAACTTTTAAGTCCATAAATATTGGACTCTATGAGTACGTGATCTTATAAAACACATGCCACTTAATCTGGCCAGGTCCGCAGCCTCGTACCATAATGCATTCGTAATGCGACTCGTGCCCTCGTGGGACAAAGGAGGGAGTCAGCCAGATAGGGAGCGGCGATATCGAGTTTGGGGGGGGGGCTGACAAGAGGGCTGGGGATTACGGGAGCGAGGCCTTAAAACGCGCGTTAATTAGTCGTACGTGAGGAGTGCGTTTGTCAAACAGGCAAATGGCCAACGACTGCTCGGCTCAGAAATTTTATCAGCCAACTGAAATCAGTTACAGGCAGCTCACCTGCAACAATGACAAGTGTTGATGGCGATGACGATGACGATGAACGAGGTATGGGGTCTCAGGTTGGAGATTTGTACGTGGAATTGCGAGAGACCCATGTGTGTCGAGACTTGACTTGACCCGTGTCCACCATTCGTTAAGCTTGGCTATAAAACAAAATGAAAAATGTTGTTGCAAAAAAAAAAACAAAAAAGCACTACAACCAAATGAAATCGTACTCTGAAACACTTGTACCCATCGAGTGCTGGCTGTGGTGAGGGCAGTTGTTCTATCTGATTTAAACGTAATGATTAAACCACATCCAGACAGTTGCAAGTGACAGTGCAATCAGTTCTGGAAAAGTTTCACAGCTGACCCTAAACAATCCATTATCCTTGACCCCTTGTATTAAGGCGAGTGCTCTATCTGAGACGTGTACAAGATTTACATAATTCACAGTTCCACCCGGTAACAAACCAATTAAAAGGAATAATGAAATTATCGTTAAAGCGAAGGAATTTTTATGGGCTGTAATGACATGAAAAAAATTATCAAGTCGGGAAACGGTAATAAAAATTGTAAATATAAATTTTTAAAATTATTCTCGATTGGGATATATAATTTTTAGACAAATTATTTGCTCCCCAAATCTTTAAACCATTAATATCTTAAAGAATAATTGTTTAAACAATAAGTATAAACACATAACAAATAATACTGTCACCAAAATGGTGAACAGTGTTTTAGATCGGTTTAGATTAAAACAATATATTATATTTAAGGAATAAAAATAATTAATCCTTAATTATTCGCGAACATACTTTAAATTAAATCTTGTTTAATGTACTTGTATAATAAAATATCATCCCAAAAGTATTCTTTAAATTGCTCATATGATATTTTAGCCAAGTTTGGCACCCGAACCAGCCAGTCATTTAAATAAAACATTTTTAATGAATGGCTTTACTTTGATTTTTTTCAACACAAGAGCACATATAATCATTACATTAGTATAGTTTGTATACCTCATTTAAATTACACTTAATTCGTACAATATATTTACAAATATCCTTTGTGTTTGGGTGCATCTATGTTAAAGTTTAGATCTTCTGACTAGATGTCGATAGTGTGATTTTTTTTTCGTTTTCTTTTGATCAAGCAAATACAATACTTAGTAAAACGAGGAAAATATTTGCAGCAAGTAATGAATATTTTTCGTCGTTGATAGCAAGCTGCAATTAGTAAGTGTTTTATCCGATCTGTTGTACCATAGCTAAAAGCGAGTGCGAAGGCGTTATCCTTGTATATGGAAGGAACAATGGACGATATTATCTCACAGTTATGCGTGTCGCTGTGTTGTCTGATTTTGGTTTTCGTGTGAGAGTGTTTGATTGTGTTTGTTATTTAATATTCGTAACTATTTACTATTCGTTCACTGGCAACATAAATGCAAATGTAACTTTTTCAACATTTTTTATGTAACAAATTTTTTTTTTTAAACGCTAAACGCTAAGCAACAATGTCTACTAAAAACACATTAACAGCTAAAACGCTAAAGAAAAATTCGTTTCACAACTTCGCTGTTAAAAATTATTGTTTTTTCGCTGACTACGATTTCTATGAATGCATTACTATTGGCGCTATATCCGGGAATCTGTTTTTGCCAAAAACATTACCCAATTTAAATACATTTTCAATTTAACACCTTCCATACAAAACTTGATAAATTTGTATATGAAATGATTTCCGAAAAAACATGTTCGTATTAGTTAATTGAGTAACTTAATTTCGCTATACGGTACACCACTAAGTGTAGTTAATTAGTTGCTTCCAACTCTGGACAAGACACACATTCAGCAAATTTGCTCATATATCATCAGTAACTTCGATAAAATCTCGGCTAGATGGGGCGGGTGCATAGAAAACTATTTACAAAGTGTGCGAAGGGGTGGTTAATCAATCTTAATATTTAAGAAGCCTAATTATCCGTATGTGGATGTGCATGTGAAGGTGGATGGTAATGCTGCTGCTGTTGCTGCTGCTGCTGATGATACATCGATGGTCCTGCCTGACTGGACGATGTCGTTGCTGTCGTTCCCGATGCGGCGGCTGCAGCCTTCATCGCAGGTATGATGTCCTCAATTTGTATTAGGTGTTCGATGGGTATAAGGGACAATTCGCCGCCCACAGGCTGAGGCATAGGCAGCTTGGCCAGAGCCTAAAAGTACAAAGTTATTTTTGGTATTTTCAGTTGGTCTTGTCATCTCCTTAACCATACCTTGGCATGCTCAACGGCTATGGTGGCTGCCTTTTCCGCCTCACGCTGTCTCCGCTCCTTCAATTTGAGCGAGAATATGGCTACGGACCTCGCACTTTTTACCAGCTTTTGCTTGAGACGGGACTTTTTGGCGGCCAATTCAGCGGCTGAAAATCAGAAGAATACAATGGTCAGTCATAAGTAAAAGATTTTATATTCCAATCACAAATAAAATTAAATCATTAATTTAAGAGACATATTCAAAAAAAAAAAAAAACTAATTCTATCTTACTTTTTATAAACATCAAAAAAAAAAAATTAAATAAGTCACTAAAAGTAGCCTTATGGATGGGTCTATTTGCTTGAAATTCGTAATTGTAAAACTATAAAAGTTGAACTGCGTCTAAAATTTAACTTACCTTTAGCCTCATCATCAGTGGTGGCTGTAGATGTGGATGCTGCTGCTCCCTGCGCATCCTTATCCTTTTCTTTCTCCTTCTCCTTTTCTCGTTCTTTCTCCTTTTCCTTTTCCCTTTGTCGTTCCTTTTCCCTTTCTTTCTCCTTTTCCTTTTCCCGCTCCTTTTCTTCCTTGGCACGCTCCTTTTCTTCTTTGGCCAGCTGCTTTTCTTCCTTGGCCTGCTGCTTCAATTGCTGTTTATGGGACGAACTGGACGAGGAATTCGATAGTGCACCGACACTGGGTCTTGACTGGGAATTGGTGATACCGGATGCTCCAGCTGGGCCAGAGCTACTGGGACTGAAGACGCTACCGCCTCCGCCGGAGGATGAGGATGAGGAGGCGACTATATGCTGCTGATGCTGGGATGCGGGTGGTGTAGCCAAATTGTGGCCAGGTGCTCCCGACCTCATGGCCACATTGCACCAGGATGGAGCTGGCTTTAGAATATCCGCTGTGTCTGCCGTATTTCCGAGTTCCTTGAGATTTGGCAAAAATAAATCAAAATATTTAGCTGTTTGCTTTGGTATAAAATACATTTTAAAATATATCGACATCGAAAGCTTATGGGAGTTAGACTAGGATTTGTGTAAAATGCTATAAATCCATGCCATTTGTTAGTGATTGGATATGTGAATGATGGAGAAGCCAGCGTGGTTTTGTGTGTATGAAAGCATCTGCCATGCCAAATCAAATTTGGTATTTCATTTTCCTTTCCCCAATGGTTCCAATGAAAGCAATTTTTAACAAGGGTTTAACAGAAAGATTACTACTTTTGATACATTTCTACTGATCCTGCAATTTCCAAGACGAAAACACCAACAACACACATTGAGTAACAAACACATTATTATTATGTATATGCATCCGTTTTGATATATGTTTATATTATAGTATGTATCTCTCCACTACCTTTGAAATACAATCTATGCTTCTATGCAGATTGGTATTGTCGTTGACTTTTAAACGTGACATCCATTCTGGTGCATGAAGTTTTATGTGTAGCTTGTCCTTTAAACGGCAAAATTCGAGCAGGGTTTTAGGTTAGGTGAGTATTATATTGGTTTTTCGGTTTTGTTCAAAGTGGCATAAACTCTATCAGTGAGGGAGATTGGGGCAGTGCTTTTGGTTTTCTGTGTTCTTTGAATAAATAATTTCCCATTTCTTTACTAAGATTTAAGAATAGTTATTTAATTTTAGCATTTAGTTTAAATCCTTCTCCAAACAAAATCTAAAGTAACTTTGTTTCTTAAATAATTTTAAAACTTTAGGGTATTATGGAATCCAAAAATGAATAATAAAAACCCTACTTTTTTCCATTTGAACATCAATATCTATCGTTTAGTAAAAGTTTTATTTAGCTTAATTAATGTAGTCATCATAGATTCCAATGTGTTGAACGTTTAAATTGCAAGGAACAGTCAAGTAGAGCAGTGATTTGGGAGAACTACAGTTTTTAAGTAAGGCAACCAGTATTTTGGCTTTTTGTTAGTTGATGCAAGAGTCTACAGACACACAAGGTACATTGAGCAGCTACAAAAACACGGTATGTCATTTGACTAGGGAAGTTCTTGTGAAAGGGAGAAAGTCCTGTTTGTAAGATATACGTTCTACAGAGTCTTCCCCCAGATCTTACGCTCATATTCAGGTGCATGGCACTCTCCGCGGATATCTTGCGCGTCTTGTACGGTGGTATCTCGGGGATCGTCTGCTGGGGCTCCCGTTGCGCCGATAGTTGCCGCATGGTGGTTCGCTGGGGACTGCTGCTGGCGCTGCTGCCGGTGTGATCGGCTGAATCGGTCGATTTCTTTCGGAATGGCGGTATTTCTTGAATATGCATGGATTGCATGCGAGCTGCATATAAGGCCGAGTTCAGCGCTAGCGTGCTGCCAGAAGCTCTGTGTGCCAAACATAAAGCGAGAGAAAGAGAAAAAACAGTACGATATATAAAAAATAGTGTTAGAAAAAATGTAGAAAAAGAGGGTAGTAATTGTTTTATCATATAAAGTAGGTAACTAAGATAGAGCAGGTTGGCCAATTTCAAAGAAGTTATATTGCACAAATTTTCGAGGCTCGGAAAGGGTATTAACGCAGCGACATACAGAAAGTAAAGCAGACCTAATGCCGATTTCAGTTGCTCCTTTGTTTAATAAAACTATTTTTTCAACTATTAAGTAAGGTATTTGAGGTATATGAGCAAACCGAAGCCAGTATTAGATCCATAAAACTTCAGCATCGAGAAAGCATCTAAAACATGTTTCGTAACGCACATTGATCTATCTAACCAACTATCCATCCATAATTTACCCGCTTTGTAGCTTCTGATGTGGTTGCATTCTCGGATTTTTAACAGCTAAAGTTGTTAAATTTCGCACTGAGTATCCCAGATATGGCGGAATTTCCGGTATACAAATTTTCGATTTTCTAACACAACTCTGATAAGCTCTATTAAAGAACAAATTTATTTAGCTTAATTCAGAAAGAGTCAAAACGATTTAGGGGAAATTTAATAATAAAACTTTTAGCATAAAAGGAAATAGAAAAAATTTGTGGGTAAAAAATATATTTATAAAATCCCCGTGAACTTAAAAGTGCATGTTCATTAAGTTCATGGGACGATTAGGGGTTTCGCAGGCGCCTTGGCGTGTAAAAAATACTTAAGTTGTCCAGAGCCACAATCCATTATTATTATTTTAATGCAAGAGAAACTCACCCGCCATTACCGTCCGGATGCAAACTGGACAGGGAGGCACCACCATGCGGCGGGGTTGACTCATGCAGTGGTCTAATCAGTATGGTGCTGGTCTGAAAAGCAAAAGCAAAATATAGCTGCATTTTTACTCAAGACCTTAAGTTAATTTACGGACCTGCGAGGGCGGCGAGTCGGGTGATGAATCACGATTCTCATAAATATTAACATCCGCCTCGATGTTACGTCCATAGCCAGCGAACTCCTGTCCATAGAGCAGCATATCTTCGGCCACCTGGCTCTCCATGGACTGATCTCGGGTGGTATTCGCCCCGCTCTCCATATGCATTCCGCCAGGACCCTCCTGCTCCGGCTGCGTGGACGTGGTCGATTGCGGGGTCGGCGGTGTGGGTCGCGGCGAGGTTCCCTTGCACTGCATTTCCCGGCGGCAATGCTCGGCGCGTGCTATTTCCGCCGCCAACCACGAGGGCAACTCCGGCAGGAGCCAGGTGAGTGCCTGTCGCAGACCCAACATTATGTGCTGTAAAGTCAAATATATGCAAAATTGTTCATCATTAGTAAAAATCATTAGTGCTAATGTGCGTGCCTCGTTTTAATTTAAAATATAATTTTGTGTTAGTCAGGATACGTCAAAGTATTTGATATTATTCATATCCTATAAAAGCTTTAGATATTTAGCTAAGTTTTATATTTCTGTTACCAAAATTGTATTCAGTTATAAACAAATTTAAAATAAAGTGTTTTTATTATGATTTCTAAAACCCAGGATATATTAATCGTTAGTATATATTTTAGTCGTTATTACATTAATGGAAACCTTTTTAAAAAGTCTTTAAATGATCTCAAATTAATTAAAGTTGTGCACCGAAAATAGCTATGTTGAGAGAAGTGATGCTAATAATTATTATCGTCATAAGATTATCTGCTTGGATATATATACATGGATATATATATATATGCGCCACTTCCGGTGAACTTACCTCGAGGGTGACAATCAGAATGATTGTCTGCGCGGTGGTCAATCCCGGCCACAGCCTCGACACCTGTCCGGAGAGGCCAATCAGGGCGCAATTCACGATGACGGCGGCGAGCGACAGAATGCTCAGGGCGTTTTGCCAGGTGCCAATGTTGGCCACACGCTGACCAAATGGACGCTGATGGACATGGGCCAGCTTGAAGGCATCTGAACGAATCTCCATCAGGTTGTTGATCAGAGCACAAACTCCAGCCAGTGGAAAGGCGGCCGAAAAGAGCACCACATAGCCCATTTGAACGAGCATCTCCAAATGGTCCGAGAAAGTGCCATCGTACTGAAGGATGGGAAAACGAGATGTCAAAGAGAAATTCAATACTTGAAATACGTCAATCACCTTGTACAACGAGCTCTCAATTTCGGCCTGACCAATATTCCTTTTACTTGTCGCTTCCGGCTGATGGGTCTTGGTGGGCGTGGCAGTACTCTCGGCTTTTAGTTCCGCTTCGGCAGTGGCCAGTTCCTCGGCCAGACTGCGAGTCACATTTTGGGTAGGACTTAAAGCGCCCCACATATTAAAGCTCAACTTGGCCAGTTTCCATTGTTCAACAAAGTAGGGGATGGCAGACTCGCGAAGATTTCCAATGATTTGGCGGGAGATGAGCAGACCAGCTAGTTGCTAGGGATATATATAAAATATAAATTATTTTGTAATTTACAATTATACTAATCAAGAAACCCACCTCTTTAAGCTTTTCCTCATCCCTCAAATAAAAAGCAATATAGAAGAGAGATAGAAAGGAGTTGACGAACTGAAAAAGAGCCACCTTAGCTATTAAATGATTTTCATATTTCGACTGGAGGCGGTAGTTTTCTGTGAGGGAAATTAATGATATTAAAAATTCAAATTATGGCTCATAACATTTGTAAACTAACCGCGGTCATTAAGCCAAACGGCCAATTTAAAGTAGGCCTCGTCCATCAAGGTAATGGCTCCTGCCAGTAATACTTTCGGTATGACACTCAAACAGCATAAGACACTTTCCTCTGGCAACTTGGAGTCCCACCAATCCTGTAGAGATTGAATTAAAAGCATAGTTTTATAAAGGGTATAGGTAATTGTTTTTTATTAGCTGACACACGCAACCTGTGTTAACATCAATATTAATCATTATATCCCACTCTTTGTCGAGTTTCCCATCAATTTCCCCCACCCCTACATGCTTTTCCTTAATTAACCTGTCATTATTATTCATTCTTCCACTGACCTTACTTCCCCTTTCCCAGCTAATGAAACGCATATTGAGTGTTTACGCAATTTGATTACATTACAAGTCATTTCCGAGGATTAACAGCACTTTTGGAAACGATCTGTGTTTGGCCCAATTCAATCCTCACGTTTAAATTACATCGCGTCATTTATATGTAAAACGCGTACTCCATTATAGTGGCTATTGTTAAAGTGCGGAACAAAAGAGCCTGCTGCTTTTGTCTCATGCTTAAATTCAGACTTTTTTATTATGTTGCACATTTGTACTCAATTTAATTAACCTCACTTTGCATCATGTAATTAATTTCACAGTTGGTTACATTTAATTTTTAGCCTTTTCAACTGATGTTTTTAACAAATTAGCGTAACATGTTTGATCTAATTTATTTGAATTATACTGATAAATTTCTTGAAATTATATATAATTTTACAGTTGAAGTGCACCAGTCTTTCAGCGCATTTGAAATATTTTATTTTCTTTTTGTTTTAGTCCACATCCTCTAGTTAACCAAGTCCTTTAACCACAAATGTCTGCTTTTGACAAATACCACCATAACCGCACTGAAGCACACACACATTATGTCCCATGTACGCTTCATTACGACAACATTTAGGTGCTCGGTTGAGCACTAAAGGGAACCGAACCAAAAATGCCATTGTCCCCTGGCTTCAGGTGCGCAGTAAGCCACATGAACTACCTGCAAACACTGAATGGTAGCCAACAGCCAAACAACAACTACTATGGTCCATTCTCAGATTAGTGACATGTGGAGCTCAGTCCACTGCGATGGCAGCTTTTTAACTTTTATAATGACATGAACAGATAAAAGAGGAATGTATCTGCTGACAAAGGTTAGCTACTTTATAAAAAATGTTAAGCAAAACATTTAGAAAAATATTGATATAAAATATAGTCCTTGAATAATAGGGTTTATACGTCCAATATGTTTAGGTAGGTAAACAATATACTAGTTTATATGATTAGAGACGTTTACTCACATAAACATATTTTAGAACTTTAAATGTCAGAATTCATCTCATAGCAACTTTGACCTTCAAAGAATTTTTGCAATTATCCTAGAAGCATTGAGAAATTCAAATTTATTTCCCAAAGGATTTGAAGGCAAAGTTCAAAAAAGTGACAAAAATGTTCTATTATTCTTCCTTTTGTTTGTCCTTCGTTGTAAGCGTTGTAATAGTCTGAGACTTTCAATTATGCGTGAAATTTTCTTATGTCAACCAAGGCCTTTAGTATTTTATCAATGTCGAAGTTGGGGTGACCAGCCCTACCATATTTTCAGTACTCTTTCTCCCTTCTGTGTCTATCTTTACTTTCCCAAAGGCAGTTTATTTTACGCCAGCTGACCATTTTAATTAACATCAGCTTGGGTTGGGGGAGGAGAAAAAATGCGTATGCAAAGTGATGGCCCAAAGCCGTTGAAAAAAATAATTTGACCAAAGTGCATATGTGTGAAAAACTTTTAATGAAAAAAAAGCTTGGTTAACAGTACCAAGAAGAGCAAAAACCAAAACAATTCCTTTTGTGTGGAGTCGAAACAGTTTTGATTAAATACAGAATATAGACTACATGTCTTTTTTCTACAGCATTAAAGAAACAAGGCATAGTTAAAAACTGGTCTTTATAAAGCCTACCAAGTTTATAAAATAAGTAGAAATATAAACTTGGCTAACAAGTTAAATGAGCTGATGAATATGTGGACAACTATCACACGAATACCTATTAGATAATATAAGAATGGTATTTATATAATTTATTGCAGTACCCCATCTCAATGATTGCAAACGTTGACTACAACACAAATTTGTGGGTTACTCAATCATACAATACTCATACTAAATAATTTAAATGCAAGTTAAAAATGAATAAGAACCTTGTGCAAATTATACATGCATTGAGCAATTCCTTTATCTGGTATGTTATGGTGATCCAGCCAATCCTGTGAAGTATACAAAAATAGAAAAACAAAATAGAAACCAAAGGAAAAATGAAAATGTAAAAACAAATCAATGATGTGTGATGAGTGATAAACTTATTTTACTTTATCCTAATCTCTTGCACTGTTTTACTTACAAAAATAAAGCATGGAAAAAATAAATAAACTTAGAAAAATATTTGCTAAAAAGTGGGTCATTGCAGGAGCGAAAGTAAAAGCGGCAACAGGAAACCGGACAAATATTAGTGTTTGTGTGCAAGGCAGTTAAAATATGCGCGTGTGTGTGTATTTCGGTTGATTTTCGTAAAGCGAACAGAAAAATAACATCAACAAAAGCAGGCACACACGAGCCCATTCACACGAACACCCACACACACGCGCGCGTACAAATTGGTGTATTGCCTAAGGTGAAAACAATATTAATTATACGCACTGTGGAACAGTTTCGGCTGGCGCACGAATGTCTTGATCGGATTGAGCCTTGCATACCCTTGCAAATAATAATAAAGCTTTATGGATTTGCGAAGCACTTGTAATGTATTTTGATAGCCCATAAAATCATGATTATATGAAAATGATTTTCCTTGCACTCAGAATAAAAATCGGCCTTATTACTGAAGAATTTAAGTCAGTATTTATAATAATTTCTCATACTTACAGCGAAAGGAATACAAATTTTGAAAATATTTTTAGGCAAACAAAAAACATTGATACAATTAAAGGGCTGTTACGAAAGCTATAATTTTTTCTATAGCTAGATATATTTTTTACTTGAATGACGATTTTATATATACATCAGCTAATACTGCTTTTAGCTAATAAAATTATATTGATTAATGAATTAAGTAAAGATTTAAGCATTGATGTGACTTCTTCCATGGCGCTTTACATTTGCAAGGCATATTTGGGACTATTTTACACACACACTTTGGAGTCATGATACATTTAACCGCACTCACCTGAAAGCGCAACATGAGGAACATCACAGCAAAGACCACACACAGGCAACATCCAATAATGGGAAAGCTGACCAGATAGCGAAACGCCCGTCGCTGCCAAGCAGGTGCCTCCTTGGGCTCCAATCGACCCGTCACATTGTTCTCCTCCAACGGACCCTTGAGCAATGATCCGAGATATACGATTAATCAAACAAATTGTCAATAACTTTTGTTACTCTTACCTTATACAAGGGCCTTGGTGGTTCCAGCAGCTCTGGCGGCGTTGATAAAGTGCCCCAGCGAAAGGCCAACTCCACGGAATAACGCTTCCAGGCCTCCAAATACAGTGAAGCCCAGGCTACATTGAACAGAGAGAAGAGTACGTGGCCCATGTCCTGGGCCGTTTGACCCTTGCCCCACAGAATGCAGTAGAGAATGGTGCCAAACACTGCTGGTACGCCCAAGGCGCAGGTGTAATGACCCAACCACGCGAAGTATAACGCTACCTTTACGCCAAAGTAGGCGGCAATGTCGTCTGTAAAAATGAAATAAAATTTTAATGCATTCTTTTTTAACAAACCACAAATCTTATGAGGTATGCCGCTTTAAAAACAGGTTACGTTTGGTAAAGTTACCACCTTTTCACAAACCATCGGAAACTTGGAAATAAATGACATGGAAATGGGTCAAAAAATTGATCAACGTTAAAATGAAAAATTTGAATGCAGATTTTTAGAGAATCAATCCACAAGTCTTTAGAGGTATGTCACTTTGAAATCGGATAATATTTGGTAAAGTTATGAACTCTGGAAGTCCAATTGTGGGCCACCTTTTCACAACCCATCGGAAACTTGAAAATAAATGTTATGAAAATAGGTCAAAAATTGGATCAACGTTAAAATGAAAAATTTGAATGCAGATTTTTAGAGAATCAATCCACAAGTCTTTAGAGGTATGTCACTTTGAAATCGGATTATATTTGGTAAAGTTATGAACTCTGGAAGTCCAATTGTGGGCCACCTTTTCACAACCCATCGGAAACTTGGAAATAAATGACATAAAAATGGGTCAAAAATTGGATCACCGTTAAAATGAAAAATTTGAATGCAGATTTTTAGAGAATCAATCCACAAGTCTTTAGAGGTATGTCACTTTGAAATCGGATAATATTTGGTAAAGTGATGAACTCTGGAAGTCCAATTGTGGGCCACCTTTTTACAAGCCATCGGAAACTTGGAAATAAATGACATGAAAATGTGTCAAAAATTGTATCAACCTTAAAATGAAAAATTTGAATGCAGATTTTTAGAGAATCAATCCACAAGTCTTTAGAGGTATGTCACTTTGAAATCGGATTATATTTGGTAAAGTTATGAACTCTGAAAGTCCAATTGTGGGCCACCTTTTAACAACACATCGAAAATTTGGAAATAAATGACATGAAAATGGGTCAAAAATTTGGTCAACGTTAAAATAAAAAAATTGAATGCAGATTTTTAGAGAATCAATCCACAAGTCTTTAGAGGTATGTCACTTTGAAATCGGATTAAATTTGGTAAAGTTATGGACCCTGGAAGTCCAATTGGGGGACACCTCATTACAAGTCATCGGAAACTTGGAAATAACTAACATGAAAATGGGTCAAAAAGTTGATCAACGTTAAAATAAAAATTTTTAGTGCAGATTTTTTGAGGATGAGCCCACAAGTCTTTAGAGGTATGTCACTTTGAAATCGGATTAAATTTGGTAAAGTTATGCACTCAGGAAGTCCAGTTGGAGGACACCTCATTACAAGTCATCGGAAACTTGGAAATAACTAACATGAAAATGGGTCAAAAAGTTGATCAACGTTAAAATGAAAATTTTGAATGAAAATGTATAAAATATTTAAATGGTTGTAACAGCGGCAAGGGTATATAAACTTCATCTTGCCAAAATTTGCGTCCTTTCGTCTTACTTAATATTTAAATAGTACATATTGCATGCCTAGTTTAAGGGTAAACGGTGGTTGCGTTTTAAAAAGGAGCTCAAGGTGCTTATCGATTACTTTTTGAAATAACCTATATAAGCTAGTATCTCAATCGTATACCGAAACATATCATAGATCACATTTTCTTGTTCTAAGCTCTAAGAAATAATCGGACTTACCCAGAGGTTGCGGTGCGAATATCTGCTTGACCCAGTGCGTCTGGAGCTGTGTGAGCGAACTGGGCTCGTGCAGCGGGAAGACCTGGGTGATCAGGCCGGACTCCTGCCAAGCAGCCACGATGCTCTGGCCCTCGGCGACCGCAGCCCGTCCGTGCAGGGCATCGATGTCACTGCAGCCGGCACGCAGACCCTGCAGCACCTGAAGGACTAGCCACTGCCGCTCCTGGGAGGTGAAAAGAGCCGTGCTACCGACGTCACCGCGCAACTGCTGGAAACAATGACTTTCGCGGGTGGTAAACTCCCTCAGAGCTCCACCCAAATCCGGTCGCAGACGCTTGGGCAGGCGGGCTTCTTCGGCGGCTCTGAAGAGGCTAAAAAATCAGTGGTAAGATTATTTGGAGCTTCTAAAAAACTGATATGTTCAAAACGAGATGAAATATCATTAGTCCATAAAAAACTAGGCACCCTCCAGCATAAAAATCATTTCCACAGAGTGCAATTAATATTAAAGTGACCAATTAAAATATCTTTTATGACGAAACTTATTTTTCACATTTGAAAGTTTGATAATCTGGTTAGGAATCTTTCTTTTAAGCTAGGGAGCTTTGATAACCGAAAATATTTTTTACACAATTTAAAAAAATTGTTAAAATAAAATTACCTAGGTTTAATATAAAAACAAATATGGGGCAAAAGTTTTTTTAAAAAACTTTTTAATTAAAGCTATCTACAGTCAGACGATTCCACTTACACATTAACCGGGGCACTGACATAGAAGGCATTCCGGCGCGTGCTCTCGTGCGCCTTGACCTGGACGAGGAGCCCCAGACCAGCTGGCGGCTGGGAGCGTATGCGGGCCAGGAGCCAGCGGAGCGCCTCGTCTGGCGCATCCTCGGGGAATTCAATAACCACGTCACATTGTGTGGGAATTTTATTGAGCCAGAGGCGACGCGGCGTCATCAAATGACCGGCGTAGGGCACTTTGCGGCGTAATTGGCGGGAAGCTGGAAAATGTTAAGCAAAGGTAACTAGAATACATTTTAAAGTGACTAAGATTAAGTTGCTCTTCCTTTCAAAATGTTTAAAAACACTCAGCTTATCTCCCCGTACATATCATATTTATATCAAAAAACCTCACATTAAAGCTAAATAAATAAAATCAGCATATATAATCATTAAAATTAAATATATTCCTACCAAATATAAGTTTGAAATAGACTGAAAATGATAGAAATACATTTTATTCATTGCACAACACCAACAACATTCCAACATGATGAGAAAAATAAAAAATAACGAGGGGAGTCTAGTAGAAACAGACCAAAGTTCCTCACAGTAAAAAATAAAAGCCACAAATAAGCTAACCTGACATGGTTAAAACCTCAACAACCAACATTTACCAGAACTTTTAATTAGAAAAGGTGGCTACATCAACCAATGAAAAGGGTGACTGGTGAAAGGGAAATGCAGCCAAGAAACTTAAGGTTCTTTCTCTCCCAGGAACTACAAAATGTTAAGAGAAAGTCGGTCTTTGAAAAAAAAAACATTGAAAAAGAATAAAAAACAAAAGAACACAAAACAAATTATAATGATAAGGCAAAGTTGAATGACAAAGTTTAACAAACAAAAGCTTTAAATTTAAACGAACAAAATACTCTATAAGGAAAATTACCAAAACTATATGAATATAAATAAACAGACTGTTATTGCATTATTGTTGCCAAAGTTCCTTGTTTTATAACAACTTGTTAAACGATTCGCTCGGTCGCAATTAATTTTGAACTTCTTTGCAACCCCACAAAAGTAATTTTTCAATAAAAAGACAAAATTGCAGCGAGGGAAAATGAAAAGTCAGAGCTGCGCTGAAATTGATAGCGGCCGAGGACTTCCGGCCACCATTAGTTTCCTTGTGACTATCAACAGCTTTCACTTTAAATTTCGCTAATGACAAATGCCACTTGCAATGACCTCAAGTGTTGAGTTGGTTCGTTGCCAATGTTTTCCTTTGATAAGAATAATAATAATGGTTGGTTCTTTTTAAGTTCACCAAGCTAATTACGAGAGCCCGACTGTTTTTGCTTTGACAGCGATAAGAATGTGAATAAGGACTACTCAAGGTCAGGACATAAACATGTTTCATGTTTGAATTTAATGAGTGGAACTAAAATTACATTTTATCAACTAAAATTCCGAAAATTAGCAATTTGACTTGGCATTGTTCCAAAAAAGAATTTAAAACGCGTAGTTTGAAAACGATTTAATCTTTTATACCATCCTTTCATTATTCTTTCTATACTGCCTAAAAATAAATAGCAAAATTACATTTTCAAAAATCCTTTAATTACCATAATAGTCCACATTCCAAAAATACTAATTGAATTCTAAGACCCTTCGTATAATATCCAACTGAGCTGCTCAGAATCCCTTAATACTCAAAAAGCTTTCGTCAACTAAAATAGACCGTATTTCTTAATGACTTATTTAGCCTGCTTTTGCACAAGCAAAATTCCTCGTCATTAATTATACATCGTAGCATCTTATAAGCCTCTTTCCCCACTCATCAGCATATTTAGATATTTACATAACCAACTCAATTATACAGCTTATGTTGCGCTATGCCTTAGTATTTAAAACAAAAGCGAGTTTAATAAGGATGCAAAAGCAAAGCTTAGAACAAACAAGTAAATATATTTTGGCTGTCTCTTTGTCGATATATTTATAAAACTAATTATAAACGACATGAAATAACCGCAAAAGCTTTACGAACTGATGTGGGCATATTCCGGCAGCAGAATAAATCACGTAATGTAGAATTTCGTAATTAATTCCATAAATAAAACAAGTACAACGGAAAATCCAAGCCCTTACACCCACCATCGAATGGATCGAATGCGATGTTTGTGCATGGCAAATGAACTGTGAATTTGTCTGCGGTAAATTCCATCACAAATCTCTCGCCCAAAATCGGAATACCGAAGGCCCCGCAGGATTTTAAGCTCGTACGCAATCAATGTAACCGGTGTACGATTGCCATTTTGATATGCTAAACACACAAATGTGTTTTGCCATGGAACCCTCACGCGTTGCTCATAAAATTGTGACAAAAGAATGGATCACAAACAATACGACCCCTGCGGAAGGAGCACGCTTTGTGCATAGTTCTTCTATCCTCAGGGATTAAGAAATCAAATTTAAGGGATGGTGGGGAAAAAAAAGCTTGGGGCACAAAACACTTTATTGTCGGTCTAGGGTGGCATATGCTAATAGGGGTTAGGACCCATAAAACATTGAGCGTCCTTGAAGGCGAAAATTTGTTGGCTACTTTAATGTTGGCCACACATATTATTTATACAGAAGTAAGCAAACCTGTTTGGTTTACGTGATAAGGCTTAATAAAGAGAAGTATTGGCTGTAAGGAACTGAAATAAAGTATTCAGCATATGAGCTTAATCAAATAATATAAAAAAAATGCCCCTAACGAACAAATACTATTAGCTATTACACTTACTAAATTTATTGCATACGAATCAACTTTTTGTAAATTAAATTGAAAATGAAAATTATTTAAAACCCATGATTTGTAAGTAACATTTAAATAAGATTTTCTTTTTATTATAAGTACAGTCACAAATCTTCTTTTATAGAATTTCCGGATGTTTTCTTTAAGTAAATATAAACAAATGATCCTAATTCATTTTCACAAACAAAAGCTGAGACAAGTGCAATCAAGCGGCATAACCTAATTCAATCCAATCTAAACCAATTTTGGTGAGTAATACATGACATCAAGAACAGACCAGCAGAAATCTCCTCCATCAGCATGAAAGACACAATTCATTATACAGTCCGCACATGCTTAAGTTGACACCGACAAGGACGACGACTCCTTGGAAGAGCAAACCAAACCAGACAAGAAAGTGCCAGCTAATGCTTTCGGCTGTTAAATCAGCAGCAGTGGGCCCCCAGGGGCGGACTGTGCGTTGAATAATTAATGAAATCGGCTTTGGGCGGACCCACGCCTTCTGTTGGGCGCCGAAAATGAAACCAGAACCGAGCCACAGCCACAGCAACGCATAATTTGTTGCATAAGCGGGATGAAGGAGTGTGATGTCTCAAATTTAATCAGCGGATTCGTGTCTGATGGCTGCAGCCTCATCATTCCCAACGAGAACATTTAGTTAAAACAGTTTATGTTTTAATTAACTTTGAATGTGACGAGAGCAAGAGAGAAGCTAGAAAAGCTCGTTAGCAAACCTTCAACACTCTCCGCTGAATGCTCGACTTAATTGACTTGAGCTGGAATTGCGTCTAATTGAAATTAGATGATGTAATCTGGATGATGACCTACTCCACCACTCCATCGATACAGCTGCATCATCACTTGAGAAGGACATCCTGCCTCTACCGCCATCATCTAATCAGGGAGTCCAGTCAGGTAGCCGTTTGTGGGAGTAAACACTTTACTAGTTGACACAATGGCCAGCCACATGTGAGATATTAGAGAACGACAAGTGAGTCTGGCTTAGATGGGATCCAGAGGAAGTTGTCCACGTCCAAGACGACAAAATGGAGGTGACTTCTATCGAAAATGAGGCTACGTAACGTGTTTCATTTTCCAATCAAACTTTAAACTTGAAAAGAAAGGTATAAGAAAGCATTTCTTATTTAAGTTCAAACACTATTAAGTTATTCATAATTCATAGCTCCATTATCACAGAGAAAATTTTAGTCAGTATGTCAATTTCCTCATCGGAATATTCTCTGCAATTACCAACTCTAATTGTTCTGAATATGAGACTACAGGCAGATGCTTAATGACCTCGTATTCAGTCTCTTTATTATGCAGTTTAATTGTATATTCCACCCGCTTCAAATTGCTCTTAATGACTTTCGCTTAAATGGAGTTCATATGCCTGACATACGCGTACATACTTGCAAAAGTCCTTCGATATAAAATATTTAATGGGAAATGTCAAAATTAAATCTTTTTTTTCCACTAGGAAAAATTTAACGCACGGGTGCATTAAAATCCGTCAACCGAAATGTTTTTTCCTGTTCGAGCCTTAAAGTTGCAATTTCCGTCGCGTTTTCCATGTTTTATAGGTATCCCACTCCACAATAGCGTATATGTAGGGTTTCACTTTTATTGATGCACTGAATCCTTGTTGTGATTAATGTACCCAAACTCTTTATCGTACCCATTCTCTTCTTCACTACCTCCATTTATCCAGCTGCCTCCCTGTTGGCAGTTTATCTGTAACTTTTGCTGCCGAACTGGTTGACAGGATAGTGAACATTTAAGGAGGGAAGCTTGGTCAGCATAAATTAATTGCATTTGTGTATGGGACACAAGCCACAGAATATAGAGCAGCAAAGGCGAAGCAGCAATTCACCATCGACTTGCACATGTGTGAGAGGCTTGAGGACATTGTAGTCCCAAGTCTTTAACTGAGTTTTAATTATGTCAGTTATCCAAATAATGCAATTAAATAACCAAAGTGTGTCGAAGCTACAATTGGTGTTAGATTTTTAAGCAGTAATAATATTTTACGCAAAATTTTAGCATTAAACAAAAGCTTTTAAAACATATCCAACATTATAACCAGGCATCCTTCGATTCATTTTCCACCAACCGTCAAACCCAACGCTAATATAAAATGCAAAAGAATTTTTTATAGACAAGCTTTTCCAGTCTTTTTTCCTCTCAAATGCTATAACTGACAACCAAAACCACTCAAACTGTCAAAATGCCCCCCAAACTAGGAAGGAAAAGCAAAAAGGGGATAAATGTTAGGGGCTCTTGAGCAAAACGGACTCTTCAACGAGATCTGACTATATTGATTGGATCTGCATATATAATTGAAAGCGTCCAATTGAAAATCAAAATGTTGAAAAAAAAGGCAAAGTAACCTTTATTAAAGAACAAGATAAGTAACCTTTAATCCCTGTCGGAGGTCATCCTATCAACAGCGTAAATATTTTAAAATAAATCTCGTCAAATAGA